TCTTAACGTTTCCATTAATAGAAATCCTAGGAACCGCTTAAGAGTTCACTTTATGCAACTTCTCTGAGTCATAACTTCTGCCTTGGCTCCCTAGCAAGAAATGAATTAAATTAGCACTAGTGAAAACGGCGTTCTGAGTTCACATTTTCAGAAGATATGAAACTAGGCTCTTTACTTAGATTACTTATTCGAGAAGTAAGAATGCCTACACTAATCTACAAGCTGTCTACAATAGTTGCAAAGGACTCGCCCTGGTAAAGGTGAAGAGCTTCACGCCCTGCATGAGAAACTCAATAGTAGAGAACGGAGTAGTTCGAGTCACGACTAGCCAAAGCACTACACCGGGCTACTCAAGACATCAAAATGGTGAAGGCTGTAAGGAGCAGCGACAACCTTGAGGAAGGTGGAAGGGCAGATGGAAATGAAGAATGAAACCGTAGGAACAGCCCAACGATAGAAGCGACGGCTGACTCCACCGCACCCTCGCTGAAGGGAGTTTTCGCCGTGCGATGGCGAAAGTGAAGGTTGGGAAAGCAACTGGCTCGGAGCAGGTACCAATCGAGGCATGAATCAGGTTGCTCACTCTTATCCTAAACACGGCAACTGCTGTAGGAAGTATCTCAGATGCGAGGAGGAGCAATACATTCATTTCCATCTTCGAGCAGAAACTGTATTCGATGGAGTGTTGCAGCTATAGTGGCATCAGTTGACTGTGCACACGATTGCACTTCTATGACTCGATATCGATTCATCGATTCAAAATCGAAGGAACGAAGTTCTGATCTCACAGGGAGCAGTTCGGCTACATGCCAGAAAGGTCTACAACGAAGATTCTGCCGTATGCGACGGTCGTCTCGACCATAGACCAGATAATTACTCACTTCATCAAGACTGAAACAAGTTGAACGAAGTCAGCTGGATAGAATCAGATGATGGCTATGGAAGGCAAAAGAGACTACCAGGTATTTTCAGTACGATTGTTGAACAAACTGGGAAGGAACTGCAGTAAACTAGATTATTAGTTCTAAACTGAATGATTTAATGCCACATGGAGTAAAATTGACAAGCGCAGCTCAGGATGGAGGTAAGCGAGAGTAAAAGACAAGGAAGGCTGTGACAGCTGCAAAAGTAGCTCATTAAGTTGATATCAGCGAGAAGCTTGGAATGAACAACGGTGGAGATATATTTCTCGTTGCCAAAGCTCGGTGGGCACTGTCAGTTCGAGGACCGTAAAATTTCCCGGCATCATTTATAAGAATGACAACCTTGTGATGGATCAAAGGAAAGCAATAAAGCGAAGGCAGAATTACGTTGAGGATTTTCCATCACAGGAACTTGGTCGTTCACCACTACCTTGTCCCTTGACAGATATATGGTCCCGTACAGAAAATAACCGTGAGGAAACGGTTGCCAAGAAAATATACGTCTGGCCACTGGCCCTGATCACTTGGCAATCAACTTGTGGCAGTCATGAAGCTGGAATGCGTGGTGGTTGAATAATAGTTGACAAAGCTCTTCAATCAGGTCGTTGCGGAAAAGTTTGTGTTGAGATTCGGCATCAGAGCACAACCCGCTCTGAGTTGAAATGAGAAGGGTCAACCGAGAGCTACAGCCAAAATCGCTTGCATGAAGATCTCTGAATGAAATGTACATACAGTATCAGAAAACTCGGACTCTGAAACCATCCAGCATGGATATGTAACCGGGTTGCCATATTTGATACATAGTACCTTCCGATCGCGTGCTCGAGTAAGGATCATGGTATTTCATGACACCGTTTATGGTTTAATTTGGTTCTATACCTGAATCTATTAACTCCTTACACTAATAAGTCAAGGGCCAGCACCAACAGATACCAACTTCAACCTTCGTCGAGGTAAAAAGTGGCTTCCCGCTTTCCCCATTACTACTTGTTGTTGTCATCAATACCATTTCACGAGTTCTTCAGCAGCCAGACTCGGCGATATTGCTTTATGCAGAGGTAATGCTTGGGTACAAAGGCTAAAATCTATTCGAGCACTAGGTGCAAGCTTGGTCGGACTCTGGCGAAGTTCGGACTCTGTTGAACGTTTCAAAGAAAGTACGAGACCTCTGAGCAAAATGGGTGTGGCACTACTAAAATTGATGGCTTCGAGTTTCTTTATAGATATCTTCTATAATCCAGGCCTCGGAAGCTAATATTGTATGAGCACGACCTCGCCTGAATAGCTGTTGAACGCTGACGTTCTCGGCAGCAAAAAATATCAAAAGGACTCAAATCGAAGATCCACAGGACCGCCGTACGATCAGTCGTGACTTAGGGTGTGGAGTGCTCGCCTATCATCAGAAAAATGAAGCTTACCTTGAGGTGATGGAAAAAAAGCGCTACGATGGACGCCTAGGAGCACATGTTCGGACTATATTCATAAATTGCAATGAATGAGGAAGTGCTTCAAGGATAACTCCTATTGCTAATAAAATGCGTAATCTCTTTTTCGTTCGGTCAGAATCGGTCAAAAATAGGGTATGTAAGATCGGGTCCAAACTTTACGCACTCTAAAAACGGCTTGAATTTGGGGCACGTCACGATTAGGACTGATCTTAGAGACATTATTTTCTCAAGCGCTTTCTTGATACTTTGCATGAGGGCTTAGAATTAGTATGCCTTCATTCCGACCAACATTTAAAGTGGTGTGCGTCAACGTACCGAAAAGGCAAATCCGGTTTTCAAGTGGGGCAGACGTTGAAGAAAATGATGAAAAAGAATTCATTAACGATTTAAAGAGTCAGATATTGGCAAATGGCGAGATGACTCTAAAGCGGTCATGAAGCACTTAGAATGAATAACTCGAAAGGGTTGACTGCTTTGGGGCTCACTCAACTTCCTGTGGAACCTTGAAATTCTGTGGGGATGAGGACGTATGTGTTGGTAGCCACAAACTGCTTTTGGTGCTGTCAGGCTATGAAGAAGACGATCTTCTCGAAATGTCAGCCTCACAGAGTTTGAGTACCAATTCGGTGAAGAGTTTAGGCAAATTTCATGTCAGATCATTCCTGCGAGGTTCAAGAAACCCGAACGTGGAAATCAACGGTTAACCCTCCTTCAATCATTTCTGAGAGTTCTTGAAAATAAACCATTGGGGTGCTCCAGTGTTGCTATTTTACATCTACTTTACTGGATAGGACAACCAGTGGTAGACAACTTCGTTGAGTTAACGGTACATCGCACTACAATATACTTCAACTAATAAAGCCCGTTCAAATTGATAGGAACTGTGATTCAAGTCAGTTACCAAAGACAATGTATTTAGTTTCCAGCCGAGTATAAGAGAAAATGATGAAAGACTGAAAAATGACTCCTTGCATAGGAATAGCTCTTAAGGCACTAGCTTTGGGTTTGCTGAAGCGATGTTCACAAAAGGAGCAGAGAGGGTATTAAATATGACCGTTTCCAAGCCTTGGTGCTTAAAAATGATTCAGGAAGGATTTTCTTTTCAATGCTGATCACATTCCATCCGTTCATTGTTACATTTCCAATTACATCTGCCACAACGCTGCTTCTTCTACTGTCAAGTAATGCTATTGGATATTGGGTGAAGCTCTTTGTGCCATAAGAACGCTGTAAAATTAAGTAAGAAAACTTAAAAGTATCAAAAGCATTAGTTACCAACTCATTGTTATAATTCATTTATGAATATTTGTAAACAAGAATCGCGAGTAATAGCAGTGTTGGAGGTAAAAACAGCAAAATTTAAAAACGTAACGTCTTGGAACTTGCAAAAGCAGTTCCTCTTAGTTAACCAACTACGACGTACCTATTCGGGCAGCTGGTGGTGGCGCAAAGTTTGTCGTTTGCGCAACACAATTTAAGGGACAATTACATGCGGCAAATTGAAATCTCAACGAGATTCGAGGGAGACATTGGTGTCTTTGGGAGAGACCTCATTACTGGCCGATTTATCTAGGGTGCAGTAGACTGGGAGAAGATAGAGGCAAAACAGCTTTGTCGTTCCCCAAAGTCCATTTCGGAGAATTGCACTTCTTAACTCATTCAGGAAAAGCACCGTAATCTTGCCAAGGATGAAGCAAAAACGAACTGTAGTTTATGCGATGCACTGGTCGTGACTATTTTATCCATGAAATGCTTCTCTAGTGTGAAAGGAACCATACGAGATCTCAGGGAGACGTGCACTAGGATCGGTTATGTGTAATGACCCGCCGCACGCGGCTGTCGCGCACTATTTGTTTCGCCGTTATTACAGCTCTAGCGTTCTTCATCGAACTCAATCAAGGTGCGATCATTATTTTATTCATTTCGGTTTCCAATATTAGTTCTTTTGTTCCCGTATTTCTTACCCGCCACTGCTTTCCGCTATATTCCTTCGCACGCGGCGTCTATCTCGCCGCGACGCGACAATTTCGATCCAACTGCATCACGCTCCCAGACTTCACCATCATATTGCATCACTGTTTCTGTGCCTCAAACAAGAATACGTGATATAGGAGATAGTGGCATAATATGTCCCTCTCAGATCATGGTCACCATGTGACAGGCACAGCTGACTACAAATTTTATTTACATTGAGAACAAAATGAACGAAATATAAAGTGGTATTCAATACCCGAACACTTAAACAACGCTTAATTTTACTTCAAAAGAAAAAAATTACTCGCAGGACAACCACGTCAGATTTCTATCACAAATACTTCATAAAGGTGCAGAACTCTAACCACAACAAAAGGATATGCAACAGATAACTAAAAGGTTTACTAATATTGCCAAGCTGCCGAAAAGAAAGTCAAAACCTTGGAGTATTTATAGTTAAAAAAAGGGAGATTGTAAAGATTGACTAGGTCATGTCGTGAAGGAAGCATCTTTTCATAGTTTTTGATTGCAGACAAAATTAAAACTTCGAAGCACATGCAACAAAAATAACAAGACTTGAAAAGAACATTTTAGCATAACAAAATAACTTATAAGCATTCCCAACCTCTGAAAAAAAAACAGGAAAAAATAAGAACTAAGAGCGAATTTCATGCGAAATGGGCTCTGTCGGAGGTCCTTGACGAAGTATTTTCCCATTCGCCATCTCTATTACAGTGTCGAAGTCTGATAGCCCATGAAGAACATGGGTGATACATATGACTGTTGCCATCGGTAAATGAACCGAAATCAACGACATCATTCGACGATGTACTGTCGCATCCAGGTGTGATGTGGCTTCATCAATCAGCACCACCTGAAGGTGGAGTGAATAAGTGAAAAAAACAGGAAGAACAGCTACACCGTTCGAATCAAAGAAGAATAATATAGAAGGTTCAAGATTTGAAGAGAATAAGAATGTGTTCGAAACGACAATGATGAGAGAATTCAAGTAGCCGAAGAACGATGGGAAAGCAGAACGTTCGAGCATCGTGGTTCCGCGGAGTTAGGCAAGAAGAGATGGAGAAAGGGAGAAGGAAGAAAACCGGCACAGCTTGCCCCCCACAACCATTTGCAAATTTTAAAATCTTTCGATCTTTTCAAACTTCTTCTACAAACTCCAAAGATAACAATCTATGACGGTAGTTGGCAAACCACGAGGAAGAGAGAATGGCCGCTCAAAGAAGTAGGGCCTAACACCTTGTTTTGACGTCTACACAAATTAAATAGTCTATTTTTTGCGATGTACAGCATTCGCTCTGTCTGGGCTTGTGCAGAGCCTAAAAAAGCGAATGCACGAATACAAAGTTCGTAAGCGAGGTTGGTTGGAGAAACAGAACAATTATTACCGATCATGGCTTATTAGGAGTCGGATGGGGCAATAACCCTGACACAAATGCTAATATTGTGGTCTCATCTTCCGAAGAAGACCGCAGATTTCAGAAGATCTTGAGTATATCTCATGTACACTTGATGATGAGTTGAACAAAGAAAAGGAAATAGAAGCACAGAAATATTGAGCAGAAGAAATCCATTGAACTGCAGAAATCAGCAAGTTTAGGATCGTGTTAAATAGAAAATCGAGTGGAAACAGGAAACATCAAACATCGTATGAGAGGATATCAGTAGCAGATATAGACTCACCTTGCACTTTGCTAACAACACACGACAAATTGAAATTATCTGTCGCTCTCCAAATGAGAGATTCTTGCCACCTTCATCAATTTGGCCATCTAGACCTCCAATTCTTGTCATAAGGGTGTCTAAAAAAGACCTTTCAGTATTTTGGAAACTTTTTCTAGAAGCTTTCCGGAAAGGAACTGACCAAGGTGAGCCACTCGAGCGATGTTGGCCACTTGACTTGCGTCTACGTGCTCACAACCCACTATTAGGTTCTCAAAGAGCGACCCACTAAACAAAGATTTTCAGCTCAGCTTACATCACGATATCTAGCAAATACAGGGCAATATTCAGGGCATGTGGCATTTAATTCTAAATCTCAAAACACTCTCTTCGAAGCTTGCCACACCTTTTACGAGCATATGATATAAATTATATTCTAATGAACAACTTTGAATTAATAGAAGGCAAGTGACCAGTCAAAATTGGTGGACAAACCTGAATATGAACGGATGTTGTGGTACCACACCGAAAGCACGCCGCAGAGTATGCAAAGGAATAGAGGAAATTGATACCCCATCGAGCGTTATTGTCCCAGATTCTATCGGTATCATCCGAAGTAAGGCCTGTTCAATAAAGGGACTACACAATATTCGAAACTCGACAGTAGAGGAGAATAAGAAAACAAGCCTTGTAGGAAATGATACTACAACGCAGCAATACAAATTACAGAACACCCGCTCTTACCTGGAATATACTGCTTTTTCCACTTCCCGTTCTACCGACAATTGCAACTTTTTCTCCTGCGTTTATTGTGAAATTAATATTTTCCAACGCTAGAGGCAAGTAGCTGTTGTAGCGCAATGAGACCTCGCTAAACTGAACTCGGCCTGCGAAATCGTAGGGACCCTGAAAAAGTTATTAGAAAGGGATCGTCCAACTAAATTGATCGACGACTGGATAGAAGAGGGCTTTAAATTCCAATGAATAGAAGGTTTTTCGACTGAGTGGATCTCAAGTTTGTTGAGCATAACAAAATAATCCCCCAGCAGTTGAAGAGCGTAATCGAGAAGCTTATCATCTAACACTGATTTGAACAACAAAATTGTTTCCGCTTCCCAAACTCTTCGTAAAAAAATATATTGAGATCACCATTTCCCAATCAATTTCGATTGCTATTCAAATTGGGTTGCTGACGGAAGTTACACGAAAAGTAAGCAGTTTTCGTAACCGCCCGCATATAAAGGTAACCAGATTCGTGTAAATCGAGGTTTGAAGCTGAAGATTCAAAACCTACCTCCATATCACCCTTGTCATCTTCCATTTGTACATTTGTGAGATAATCATCTATCCTTTCAACAGACACCATTTCTTTCTCAGTTTCGATGAACGAACTCAGTAAGCCATTCAGGAGACCAGTCAATGATAGCGCGTATGTTATTGCCAGCGCCACAAGTCCTGAAGGGGAATTCTTGTAGAGCACATAATATCACGTAATTTGTTGTGGCATTTGAATTTAACATATACAAGTCCATACCTGAATCGACCCCTGTGATTTGATGTTGTATTACTGCCGACGCAGCGATAGCTGCAACGATGCTGACGGCTATAATTGACAAACGAATAGACAACCATTGGCCAGCTGCGATTGATGAGAACTGCGCTCGCATGTTCACTGTTAGACGTTCGCGCAACTTTCTTGCGAACCTTAATGGAAATTGTCGTTAAGATGAGCCCACAGAAACGAACGAAAAGAAGGGGAGTATTCCTCCATCATACTTGAACCGAGTCAAAAATTTTAGAAAAGAGGACATATTATACTTGAGTGGAGGGGTGGTCACTACTGACTCAGACTTACGAAGTTCTAAATACCATTATTCTGCTTTTGATAAGGATTATCTGTTTTTTTTACCTTGTTGAATTTTTCGATCTGACTATAGGACCTCAACTGCCAGTCGCGCTTAGATGATAAGAGCCAACTAAAATTTACAGCAAAAAGTCAAACAGCTGACAGTGCGGTGAAAGCGAGCGACGATCATGATTACTGGCAGAAGAAGAAAACTTTCATCGTTGTCGGCATCTACTGCGATGACGGCTACCCCAGCTACTCTAGTTAGTACCTTTATTGTTTGAGTGGCGCCCTTTTTAACAACGGCTGGCGCATGGCCTGTATTACGAAAAACCAGACATTCCAAGAAGTTCGGATGGCAGCGGAACGGATATGCTACCGGTCGACTCCATCCTCGGTATTGGCGAATTGTCTGTCTTCAGACTTAAAGGTACAGTTCACGATAATTTTGAGATACCCTTTTTAGGTGGAAGAGTGGAAGTATCGATGTAGAGGAGTAAATCGGTGGCGAAAAGGACGAGAAAATCCGCCCATTTCAAGGATTCTTAAAAGTAGTGGAAGTGGAGGTTGTAAGAGATCGCCATGACTGTAATGGCATGTAAGGGGTGTTTGGACGAGATTTAACTTGCTCCCATTGCTCAAAGAGATAACCACATTAAGCCGAAATTGTCCGAACTGCCTTTCACTGTTGCCATGGGTTATGTCAGATTGTTTAAACTTCCTACATGGGAGTCTCTTGGGATAGCGCAGCCTCTTTAAAGCTGTTGAAACACAACACAAACAACAACACAGCTGTTGTGCCCTATACATGATTTTTTTTCGACCTTATAACGGCAGGTATGGTGTAAGGGGGAGCCTCGAATTCATGCTATATGGGAATTCAGAAACCTTTTTATCGTGAAGTGTGCCTTCAAGAAACAAAACTCAAGATATTAAGGTAACCCAGGAAGCGACCCTATTCACTCGATTACTCGAATTTGAGTAGATAAAAACTTACCTTTCAACAAAACGTTGAGCACGAATAGTTGCCAGTCCATTTACAGTATCTCCCAGATGTGAGTAGAAAGGTGAGAGACTCAGGGAGGTGAGTCGTTTCAGCTCAACTGTTGTTAAGCTGAATATACCAAAATACGGAGAAATCGAAATACGATCAATCTATATATAGCTATTTGCTAAGCCTACCAGCTAGTTTCTTGCGCGCTGTGATGGCATAAAAACTAGGTGTAAAGGTTTGGATAATATCTACACTGACCGGTTATATTCACCAAGTCGCGCACGCAAGCGTCATCAGAAAATAATTTTGTAAGCAAATGTTGCACGTGATCGTAAAAATACTTACCGGTAATATTTTTGAATGAAGTAGTATACAACCAATAACATTACAATTACTGGTAGCAAGAGTGGCAGACCCATTATTGTTATTACCAGTGTACCAATGAGATTGAATAAGGACGCAAGTAGTATATTGAGCTATAAAATACGTTTTATTTTATGAAATGGGTAAGTTTTCAAAAATTCCATGAGAAAATAACACTGTTTTTCCATCTTCAATGTGCAACCTGAATTCGGTAGCAGTACAGGCGGCAGGATAGGAGTACTGATGGTACGTGGGAGGATTGGACCTCGCCATCGCAGGGAGCGGGGCTTGCGCGAAAATTGTCAATTTTGCCATAGAGTGTTCAAAGTAAGTTGGGGTACAAGCGGCAGGATCGAGAGAGAGAGGTACGTGTAAACTGACTGAGCTAATCCCCACCTGAGAGGGAAAGAAAGGCGGATGGAGGGAGAGAGCGGAACGTAAGCAATTGAGCGCAATTTGAGTAAAAATACGAAGTCAAATTGCGCAAGTGGGGTGAATTAAAATGGCAGGCAAGTCACATGGCTGTTAAGAAAAGCAATGAAGGAAATAAATTGTTTGAACAAGAGGCCAAATATATTCAAGGATCGTCACTACTGAATGCTTTTTGTCAACGCATGAGTTGTAGGATGAACACAGCCAGCACGGCTTGAGAAAATAGTCGTCGTTTCATACTGATGCCAAAATCATTAGAATCCCGTAGAAAAGTGTGGATATTGGAGTGTTACTCTGCTTTTCCATCTTCAATGTACAACCTGAATCGTTTGGCTGGATTTATTAATAATTTATTGGCGAGGTCCAATCCTCCCACGTACCATCAGTACTCCTATCCTGCCGCCTGTACTGCTACCGAATTCGAAAGCTCCAGGTACAGAAGAACAAAAGTTATGAATTTCCGGTCACGCACACACACAAACACACATACACACTTAGCGCCTTATATACAGTACACTACTCAATATACTGACTACATATTTGATTTCGGCGCCCGGTGTGGTCTCGTGGCTGATTGTGAATAGAACCATCGATATCATACACGCCACTCGCCTACTCCTAGAAAAGCATCGCGAGAAACGAAGATCGGTACATCTTGCCTTCCTCGACTCGGGGAAGGCTTTCGACCGCGTGCCGCGTGACGTTATATGGTATGCCTTACGACGGCATGGCGTTCCTGAAGAGCTCATCGAGTGAGTACGCATCCTCTAGACTAGTCCGAAAAGCCTAGGGCAAGGCAGCGAGCATATCGGAGAATTTTTCCTTCTCCGTTGGAGTACACCAAGGCTCTGCATTATCCCCACTATTGTTTGTTGTCGTCATGGATACCATTACAAGAGACCTCCAGAAACCTACTCCATGGACTCTTCTTTATGCCGATGACGTGATGCTCGTCAGCGAAGACAAAAGCGAGTTTGAGCAACAGGTGCAAGCCTGGACCAACCGTCTGGCTATGTTTGGACTTAGGCTGAACGTCAAAAAGTCTACTTGACCACCGATCCGAGCGAGCCAGGTCTATCAAGAGCAATGGTACAGAGCTCACACGGACAACAACATTCAAGTATCTTGGGCCGGCAATTGCGTCTGACGGCATCGGGTGAATGCAGCGTGGTTTAAGTGGCGCTCGATGACTGGCGTACTTTGCGATAAGAACATGCCGGAGTGTCTCAAATCTAAGATCTAATCTACAGAGCCGTCGTCCGACCAGTAGCAATTAACGGCGCTGAATGCTGGCCTGCAACTAAAGAAGTTGAAGCCCAGAAGTAATGACGCCATCAGGGGGCGATTCGGTGTAGCGCCCATTGTCGATAAAATGCGCGAAGCTCGTATTCGATGGTATGGTCATGTTCTTCGCGCAAAGAACGACAGTGTCCGTAAGATCGGTCTCAACCTTGACGTGTCCGGAAAGCGGCCTACAGGGCGCCCAAAGCAGCGGTGACTCGATACGTTGCATGAAGACCTTAGAGCGATTAGCATCCACCCCTATCAAGCGTTCAATCGGGAGAAGTGGCGTAAACATATCAGAAAAGCGGACCCCGCCTACAAGCGGGTTAAACTCTAAAGAATAAGAAGAAGCTATTTGATTTCAGGGCCTTAAGTCATATATGTAGTTGAGATACCGCCTCACTACGATTGACTAGACCGATGTGTTCACGGCACTACGTAAAAAACTGACTCCCGAAAAAAACTCGCCAGTGTAAGTAATCTTCTGTGGATAGATACAACTGGAAATAAAATTTTACAAAATCTCACTTGAAACGGCAAATTGTCGTCGCATGTGTATATGTCGGAACAAATGCGGTTGATAACACGTCCCGAAGGTGTACGATCCCACCATGACGATGACGCCTTAATAATTACAATGAATAAATCGCAGTTTTGATTTTGAGAAAAAAGATGGTAGCCGGACATAGCGTTCTAAGTGTTGCGTATGCCATTCTACGAGTGTTCGGGCGCTGTGGCCAGTATGTCTTTTCATCAGCTGAACGACTCTGAAGCGAAATTACTAATTCGGTTCGAAGCTTTTAATCGCACAACGAGTATGTACGTCAAAGCTTACCATGGGCACCAAGTGCCGCTAGCTCAAGTTCTATGATTCACAGCTGCGTAATAGAGAAAACCATTCCTCGTTGTTTCACTCGTTTTTCATCAACACAGTAACATGACAAATATCTTTCGCGCTCTTGGTATTGTTGTGATGTGAGGTATTGATGTCATGGTGATATAAAGCTACATTGTGAGATCAACTACTTCGAGAATCCAAAGAGGATAGGAATCCTTATTTCGCGATAAATGAGTGGGTCGATCAAAATGCATTCAAACGCTGAAGCTCTAAAAACACTATTCTTTTAGATGCTTGTGGAGATAAGTATGGCAACTATGTAAAACGCTTGAAATCGTTCACTGTTCTCAACCACTTCTCAATAGCCGAACACTTGTACAAAGAATCAAAAACCTAATCCATCTGTAACATTCTATTTGCAGGATTGGCTGGTAGACATATTCGTCTACGTGATGGGTAAGGTCAGATTGGGTAATCATTTCCGAGCCGTTCAACATATTTGAAAGACAGATTGTGATCGTAGTATGAAGTTGCATCAAATTACATCTATGTGGTTCCAAAAAAGCTCTCCAAGATCTTATTTGGAAACGAAACGAAATCAATCAACCATACCTTGAGTAACCTGTGAAGCAGGTTATCATGAAGATGCTTTGCAGCTCTGATACCTCCGTACGCGAACAAAAAGGCCCGTATCAGAGTGAATATAGTGTTTGCTGTTGCTATTGCTCCGTAAATGATAAGAAAATGAATAGAACGATCCATCTGACTATCGGTAAGCAAACTGAAACAAGCTGAACATTTGCACAAAAAAGGATTACAACCAAATATGCTCTTACTGGGAGAAGTTGCCTTGATCCTTGGTCCACCGGCTCAGCCACCAATCTGCCGCATTCTTCGAAAACTGCATCAGACACAGAGCTATCACTATCAATACAGTCAGCGCGCATCCAGTAGCTACCATGTAGGTATGAGCAACTGATGCTTTTACCGTGCCGACCTAAACATTGAAAGTAGCAGTGAGTAATTTGTTCATCTATTTCTTGATGCGCCATGAACTCGACTGTCATTGCAGGAATGTAAACATCAGGAAGTGTTCCTATTGTGCACAATCGAATACCAAGACCAATCAGGTATGATGCAAAACTCTTGGTCTTGGGCAACCTCGCAAAACTGTCAAACCTTTTGTCAATGAAAAAATCGTTCTCAAAAGCGATACTATTGATCTATTCAGGCAATTCGTAAAATTGCCAAGAAATATTGACTGACTGCTCAAGAACATTCATGAGTTCATGAAAAACAGCAACTTTGCTAAATTGGCCACTTTGTTGCCATTTTTCTGCATCTTTCAATTCCACTAATTTAACAACTCAAATCGCAAGGCTAACTAGTCGACATTCATTTCAAGTATTCGAATAGGCTTTGTTACAAAAAGTTCATTTACAATGAAGTCTTGACACAAGGGTCTACCTGTCTCTCTTCTTCTTGGAGTACGATACGCTCAAGCTCTGTCGAATCGCTGCCGTTATCGTTCTCGTCCTCTCCAAACACTTCAATCTCACTACCAATGACTTCAGAAGGGGTACCTTCAAATGCGTACATCAGAGCACGAACGTATTATCTCCCAGATTACATATGAAACCAGAAAACCTAACGACCAGAAAACTAGACGCTCCACCAACCTTTCTTCACAACTTTGCCGTCACTTCCTAGCACAATAACCTCATCAGTTCGAGCCAGAACTCTTTTGTCATGAGTTGCTACAATGACGAGACATCCACGATCTCTGAGTCGCTTCTCGATTGCCTCCACCCAAATGGAGTCCGCGACACATCGATCTAGCGAAGCTAGCGGTTCATCGAGTAAATACATGGAATTATCCTGGAAATCTCATGCATCACGTAACGAAAAGAATCTAAAATCTTCATGATCACTCAAATGTACATCTAACTTATATAGGGTGAGAAGATACCTGATAAAGCGCTCTGGCAAGGGCTACACGAGTTCGCTGCCCACCACTCAGAGTTGCTCCGTTGTCAGAAATTTCGTAAAGATCTCCTCCTGGCATCAGCTAAAATGAATGCAACTCACAAAAAAAGCGTGTGCTAACAAACATCCCTTTCCAAAATAAGTGTGATGATCTCGAGATGCGTACATTGATGTCACGCTGAAGACAAGTGATTTTCAGTATAGTGTCGTACAACTTAGAATCGAAATCCTTGCCTGCAGTTATGTTCTCTCGAACAGAGCCTAAAAATTTCCATCGTAAAATGCAGAGCGCCACGAAACAACAACAAGAAACTCAATGCGATCCTTTAATGCACTTTTATTTCGCTATTGAACTGAGGATCACCTCGATATAGCCATCTCTCCTGACCAACGTATCCAATTCCATTTGAAACACTATCTTGTGTGATTCCAATACATTCAGTTAGCGACTTTGTTTCACCAAGAAGACCTGTAAACAAATAAAAAATAACATCAGCCGAGCTGAGCATTCTTGGATGAAATTAAAGATGGCACCTCAGCAACTGCCTCGCTGGAGGTTCGGAAAGTGTTTTAGAGCGTAGCAGAGAAGTAAATTTCAGAAATGAAAATGTACAGTTGGTATTCCAAACTTTCGAAGGAAAACTTTTCTCATATCGATGCTTTAACATTAACGATTGCATTAACATCTTTATTCCCTGTCACTTTTGAAGATTAAACATTAATTGAATTGGCTCACCCAGCAGCAACGTTGATTTGCCACTCCCAACATCTCCTGATATACCAATGATCTTTCCCTGGAATGAGACTCAAACATTGCATCGATTAAAAAATAACAAAGGACAATGGAATTCTTGCTGAAAATTTAGAAACAATTCGTCTCAGGGAGATACAAATTTAGAATATCGAATCGTCACCAAAACCAAGGGGAAATATGCAATCCTTATAATCTCGATCTCATACTCGCTTCCAAATCCAGATAAGCCTGTCAAGAGTTTGAATAAAGCGGTTGAGCTCATCATCACCTCTGTCATCTTAGGCACCACCATTATGCTGCGAACTTGCAAAGTCAGTAATGCGACTGGCTCATAGCCGCGAGGTAGTGCGATCAATTCCCTGCTGAACTCTTTCTCGTCTTTTGGAAGGCCTACTCAAAAAGGCTCTTAACCATGTTATTACACTGTCGCTTGGCTGAATTTTGCTGGACTAGAGAGTTCTGCGCCAATTTCGTTTGTCGTAGCTGGTCACTCCACCTGCATCAGCAGAAAAACCCTGTTTAGGATCTGTTTGTTCCAACTCGCGCAGCGAGATAGAGGCAAGTGTTGATCTTCTTAACGATAGTAAATGAGTGCAAGCTAGCGCATCTACCGCTACACCGCTTGTTCTAGGATTGCTACTTTTCGAGGGTTTCAATGAATTTGTAATGAAAATGTGCAATATGCAAGTGATCAAGTGACCTGGTGCGACTTGCTTGTAAGAAGGAGAACAAAGAGATAAAAAAGTAGCAAGACGCACCCTTCTCCCATGAAATGACACATCGGTGATTGCTTGCTTGGAACCTCGCCAGAAGAAATTACCTTCTCTAACGTAGAGCAACGTATCTTTATCTGGAAAGAGTAATACGGGGATTGAGAAAATCATCTAAATTCAGCCTTCAAAAGGGATACTTTGCTTACCTCCGGAAAGTGTGTACACATCGTGCACATCAATGTTGTTCAAAGCAAACAATCGCTGTAATCTCCTCAATGAAACCAAAGCTTCGACAAGTCCGTTTAGCACCCATGGGAAAGCATTTAAGGGCATTATTAGGATGTTGACAAGAGCCAAGGAGGTGAACACCTTAAAGCAGTCAATAGAAAGACAGTTTTAGTTCAGGATAAGGGATTAGTCAATCAACAAAGTAAACGTCTAACGAAACTGCGAGCGAAGGCAAACCTTGGCTGCAGTGAGCTTCCAGTGAAACACCAAGACGTAAGTAGTCAAAATAGAGATTGTGATTAGCAACGGTGCCGAAGCCCACATATATACACATACGGCATCGAGATATTTGCGGATCTACAGAGGCATATGACCATAATCATTAGTGAGCTAATCACAAGTGAGACTGTAATTAAATACTGACTTTCAAATAGTAAAGCTCCTTTTCACGAAGTTTGCGGATTTTCTCCTCAAAAAATGTCTCCCATGCCGATGACTTTACAGCTCGTATACCTTCCATCGTTTCACGAACTACCTGCAACCTGTGTATTCTCTATATTACAGAACTACTACAACTCCAATCACGTCTAATTTTGCACTTTGAGAATCCCTCTATTTTCCACTGTGCCTGTTGGTTTTGTCGATGAGTGGACGTCGGTAAGATGTCTGACTGGAAATTCGTGCCGGACATTCCCGCGGACACAAAGCGCTAATTTGGTGGAGACATAGGCGGCGGGATGGTAACATTGGGTAGATGGTGAGACTGAACTCCAGAGGTGGGCAAAATGAATATAACCCAGGTAAGAATACAACTTGAATTGAACTAGAAAGGTAATCGGTACCCCAAGAAAGTTGAAAAGATACAGTATGCGGCAAATGCGGCAAATTTAACAATTAACTATGGTCAACCAATTCTGGTCAGGGCCGATCTGTAATACTCTCTCGGGGACTGGTAACTAACCCTTTTTTGAGCCGAAAAGTGAAGGAGGATTGACAGCACTCAGCAAGGCATTCCAACTTCGACGCAAAAAGGAGGAGATGATGGCATGAGCCAGCGATCCGACTGCTGGCACTTACTCCAGTCTCTAGTCCAAAACTGATTTTGGCAACAAACCTTAATCCTCAAGTCTTTACAGTGCATCAGTTTCACAGACATCCGTCCAATACTGTTCGTCACCCATTTATTGAGAGGAATCAAAATAATTGCAGCCACCACTCCAGCGATGAATGCCATACCAACCTGGCATGTTTAAAACATACAACTTATCTGTTCTAACAAAAAGCACAGATTCAGCGAAACTATAAAGAGAAGAGAAAACATACTTCTCGATACAGTAAGTAGAGAGCAATGGCGAGTTGCACTGGTAAACTCCAAAACGCATGAAAAGAATTACAAAAGTTAACTAAACGATCAACGTCTGTTGAAACAAAGTTAAGTATAGATCCTGAAAACGAATTGTGTTTAAGGCCTGCCAAGAAGGTTCAACCGTATCACGTTCTCAAAAAATATCAGTGGCTCCTCACCTGAAGAAAACTTGCTAATCTCGCTCAAGGGTACCATTAGCAGTTTATCATAAATCGCAGTGACAGTTGCAGCTCGAACTCTGAACAAAAAAATGAGCATAGACAAATTGCACCAGGGAATTCCCTATATGAAACATTCGTAAGACTCAGTGCATGTATTATTCAGAAGCCCATCCTTTCTTTCTATAAGTTGACAGTACCTACGAGCTCCAAGAAATGAGTGGTTCTAGAATCAGTTGAGTAGGATTTCAGAGAAATGCGAAAGACTTTTCATCTACAAGGAAAGAGCTGAATCCACTGAATGAATAACAGATTAAGCACTGCCGTTGGGACGAATGCGTCCAAAATCGGATATAGACTTGGGATAAAGCGAGTCACGACCACCAATGGTTCACTACCAACATGCCATGGTGGGAGGCAAATTTCAAAACCACTGCGCATTAAAATCCCTTTCATATTTCAACTTGTTGTGACTTGATGTTTTGTTAACTGATGTTATTTCGCGGCTCTAAACGATGCGCAAGTCCCACAAAGTTGGCGAGGTGCCTGGATGGCACAGGCACTGGTTCGAGTACCGCCTGAACCGAAGTTTCGTCCATCATCGCGAACCGTGTGGACGTTACATGTCTCGTTCATTAACTTCATATAAGTCTATTCGGAAGTTATTATGAAGGTGTCGAGTTATGGGTATAGGTCGCCAAAGTAGGCAGAGCCAAAGGGAAGTTCACTGTATTCGGAAACGTTCGACATCCAAAAGAGTGGAGAGGAGCAGGTGGGGAAAGATAGTCGAATGACAAATGCAGCGGAGTGCTTTTTAGAGTGGATTGACTAAAATTAAAAGATCACGACATTGTTTCCAAACGACAGAGCTTGAGAAAAGTGGTGTACAAGAGCCTGTAAAGTGAAAGAGTTCAATTCAACTATGCACCGCAGATGGAGTGTGCACCTAGGTGTACGGTGCAAGAAGTGGGAAACTGCATTGAGAACAACTCACACCCTCTCGAACCCATGGAGACCGGCGAACAGAAATCAGGTACACATAGATATGGTCAAATGCTCTTTTGGAATGAGCGTGTAGAGAAATGGGTAAATAGAAGAATCAAACGCACGGTTAGTTTCTGAAGATCTAGCAAGACTAGCGAGGCTGAAAACTTTGGCCCCGGAAGGGACTCGTGCTAGTAATTGAGCTTTCCGGGCACCATGCGCTTTTCCCTTACAATACCATGACCCCGTTAGCCCTTGCCTTCTTCACAGTTCCTCAATGGAACAATAAGGGATAAAGAGCACAATGCCCTGAAAGTACAACCATGGGTACGAGTCTTGCCTGAAGCCTAAATTTTGCCCATAACTCGCCAAATTTGTGAAACATTCGGATCGCACACTGCGGCGAAAAATAGTTAACAGTTGATCAAGTCAGCTAGTTAAGTGAGATCCTGAAAGTTCGGCCAGTGAGACAAAAGCCGATGAGAAACTGTGAAAGAGCACAGCCAAAATCCCACGAGTTGCCCGCAGTGATAAACAGAAATTGTGGTAGAGATTACCTCGCCGCTGGGAGGTAGTGGATAACGTGATAACTGTACAAGATTGGTCGACGTAAACAAAAACCCTGAACTAGGAAAGCCCCAAGCGGTATTTGTAAAAAAGCGAATCACCCCTTCTAGGCTAAAACATGGAGAAAAAGAACGTAAGTTTGTCCGGACGTTGGTTTCGATTCACATGAATTGAAACTATTAGCTTTGAACGGCTTGAAGAAGGTGGAAGAGGTGTAGGCTCTACAAAGCCAATTTCACTGACTTCCGATCAAAATCACTGATTTGACGTCGTTTACCACTAAACGTGCGGTTGCCCAAGGTTGTAACCCATATGCAGCCTTAAATTCGATCAAAGAACACATTCCTCATGTTTCTCATAGCAAGAACAAAATCACTGCTTTCGGAGAAGAAAGAGAAGCTGTGCTAGCTTGAGCCAAAGTTTCTCGCCTAAATCCTGAAGAACGGTACCAGAAATGGAACATATGAAGGAGGAGTAGGAACTGTCAAACGTAAGCATATAAAAAGGGAACAATGAAGCAACAAAACAGTAAATACATATGGAAAGGTTTAGCTGAACTCACTTCAGGCTGATTTTCTGCATATAAAAATTGAAATTTGTCGAAAACAAAGCAGCTAAAAGCGAACACAAGACCATGAGAGCGGCGTACAGAAAACCAATTGACTGAAAAAGTAATGGATATCCAAAACTGAAGAAGGAATTCGTGTCATTGCATACATTTGGAGTAGGATTTTCCAAGACATCAACCAGAAGATGAAGCAAAATAGGACCAGCGAAGGTGAATGCGTCGGACGCGATTCTGAGTATGGCCAAAGAAAAGAAAGCTACTCCGAAAGTAGATAACAGCGATCTGAAAGTCAAAATGAAAAGATACGGGGCGAAATTCAAATAAGTCATATTCATAAAACCTACGATGAGAGTGAATAATGTTGACCATCAGAGTAAAAAGTTGGTGAATTCTCGATCATTTGGTGCTCAATATACGCTACCTCAAGCGATGGAGGCAGAGCAAATACATCGTCAATCTACAAAAGGGCAAGTTATGCGAAAACCCCTTATTGGAAAAAACGTTGAACAAAAGTGGAACCCACCGAATTCAGTTGCAACTTGCCCCCTTTCTGAATAAGTATGTTCGTCCAACAAAAGAATATGCGCGATAGAAGACCTGCTGACTCGTCGGCAGACGCGTGTAGCTCTATATACCCGAATGACTCAGCCGTAATGAAAGCCCTTAAATGGACAAGGTATGAGAAAAATAGTCGACCTCAAAAGGCTTCAGACACTGAATCGTGCACCATTGGGTAGCGCTCAATGCGATCACGATAAGCTGTGTGGTTGAAACCAGCTAATTCGTGAGTTCTGAGCATAGGTTGTCTGAGTACAAGTTTGATAGAGCCTACTGCATTC